CTTCCGCTCGTGGCGAAACTTTGCCGGCGCCGACGAACACGACCCCGAGGAGGCCGAGACCCGAGAAGAGAAGCGATGGATGGAGCGGCAAAACGAACGCGAGAGGAAGCGCAAGAAGAGGGAAGAGCTCACTCGCGTTGCCACTCTCGTTGGTACGAATGCAGTGCAACACACACACACGACACACACGACACACCACACACAACGTCACTGATGGCTCACCATTCCCTGTTTGGCTTGGCAGAGGGCGCCTTCAAGCGAGATCCGCGCATCAAGCGACACAAGTTGGCGGAGAAGGAGGCCAAGAAGCGTGTCAAGCAGGAAAAGATCGACGCCATCAAGAGGGTGCGGGAGGAGCAAGAGCGAAAGGAAGCCGAGGAGCGAGAAGCCAAGGAGAGGGAAGCCAAGTCCAAGGCCGAAGAGGTACGCACACGAACTTCATCATTCCTTTTTCTTTTTCTTTTTCTTTTCTCGAGCGAATTAATTTTTAATTAACAATAAACAAAAACAAAACAGGAAACGAAGGAGAGGCAGAGGAAGGCGAACGCTCTTCGCGACGCGAGGGCCAAGCTGAGGAAGTTTTGCAGGAGCGCCAAGGACCTCAAGGCGCCCACCAGCGATGTGGAGCTCATGTGCAGCAACCTGCCCGTCGAGCGTCTCAAGGCCCTCATCGAGGCCATCAAGACCAACCAGAACGCGCAGGACGCCTTCGACGCCGAAGTGCGTTTCCTCAAACCCAACCACGTCCCCGTCGAGGAGAAGCAGAAGCAGAAGGAAGAGGACGAGCAGCAGCTCAAGGCCGCCACGGAGGAGAAGAAGGCCAAGGCCGCCATTCCGTGGACCGACGACGAGCTGGGCCTCCTCGCCCAGGGTATCGCCAGGTACCCCGGCGGCAGCCCCAACAGGTGGCGAATGATCGCCGACCTCGTCAACTCCAAGGTACCACCCATCATCATCATCATCATAATCACCGTCATCGTCATCATCGTCATTGTTGATTGATTGATTCATTTCTTCATCAGGCGGACCGAGCCAACGGCGGCAAGTCCAGGTCTGTGCAGGAGATCATCGCCAAGGTGGGCGAGATCAAGGTCGTGGCCGAGAAGAGCGCCCTGCCCGGCGTGCAGATCGAGGATCACAAGCACAAGGGAGTACGTACCCCACCACCCCACACCCCACCCCGAAGCACCACCAACCGCATTCTAACAATCAATCAACCAACCAATCAACAATCAAACCACGATCAGGTCAAGGTGCAGAAGTTGAACGCGGGCGGACCCATCGGCGGCATTTCGCTGCGCACGCAGATCCCCGACCTCGCGCCGGTGGTGGAGGAGAGCAACGGAACCGCACCCCACCAGGCCAACGGCAAGAAGCAGCCCCAGCAGGGCGAAAAGAAGAAGGCCGCCGCTGCCCCTTCGCCCTCTACCACCACGACCGCCACCTCCGAATCCACGGCCGAGAAGGTGCGCATTCTCTCTCGTGTCGTGTCGTGTCGTCGCGATTCGTTAGCTCACAGCTGTTATCTGCCAACGTCCACAGGAATCTGCCTCGACAGCGTCGCCAGCGGAGTGGTCGCAGGAGGAGCAGAAGGCTCTCGAGGCTGCCCTGAAGAAGTTCCCGGCCTCCCTTGGCGTTTCGCGCTGGGACTCGATCTCTGCGGCCGTCGCCGGCAAGACCAAGAAGGACTGCGTCGAGCGTTACAAGTTCATCGTGGCTCAGCTCCGTGGCAAGAGCAACAAGTGAGAGGCTGCCCCTTCTTTCTTTCTTTTTTTCCCTCTTCCGTTCTTTGTTCAACGCGAAATAAGAGACTTTCACGACCCTCTGTTCGTTACTTGCAAACTTTTTTGTTATTTGTTTTTTTTTGTTATTTGTTTTTTCCTCAGACAAAGCTTCGCGGATGATGGACATCGGCTTTATTTCGGGTTACATATAACCACCTCTTTATCTCCCATCAACACTCACCATTGGCCGGTAGTTATCCAATCCCCAGCTGGCCTGAGCTGGCCAGGTATAAAAAGAAAGGTGGCAGCAAGTACCACGTTGCCACAACCCAAGGTGGTCCAACGTTTGATGTGACACACAACTGATCTTCATCTCTTTTTGTTTTACTTATTCCTCTTCATGTTCAAAGGCCAATCCTACTGCTACTGGAGCCAGATGGCTGGACCCATCACTTCTTACAAGGTGCATGTGTTTGCTTATGCTTGGTGGACCCCTACCACAGAGCAGCTGTGAAGGCACTGACCTCCCCTAAGTGTAAGTGGCCCCCTTGTTCCCCTTTGAGTCCAGCCCCTTGTTGTTGAACTCACTTTGTCTTGTTACTTCATGTGTTCATGTGTTTGTTTGTTTGTTCATGCATTTGTTTGTTGGGTGAGGGGGCTTCTGCAGTGGATCATAGGCTGTGGGCAATGCAACAAGCAACCACACCATGGTGGCAGAGATGTCAACAAGATCAGCAATGTCACTGCCATCTGTGCCTCCCTCAGTGGGGTGCTCATGCCAGTGTGGCTGAAGCAGGAGGTGGTGGTGGAGGTGGAGGAGAAGCAGCAGCAACTCCTGCCCATAATCAACTGAGAGCTTAATGATAGCCACCATGTGTTGAGGAATTGGCTGGCAAGCAACACAAGAGAGAAACAGGTGGTTGATGCAAAAATGGGCATACAATCATCTGTTGTCTGCAAAATCATTTGTCATCTGCAATATAGCTATAAAATCATATGTATATCTGCAAAATGGCCACAAAATCATCTGTATTCTTCTCTTCTTCTCTTCTCTCCCCACCCACAGGAACCAGCAACATCTCAGCCATTTGCACATCATGCCAAGCCCAAAAGATGCAGGGGGAGGAGGAGGAAGGTGGCCTACTCCTTTGCCATTTGACTTGACCACTGATCAGCTCTTGCTTGGACTTGTCCAAGTGGGAATTGGAAGAGGAGAGGTGGCAAGGTGTCCTTTAGGGTGAAGAGGTAGAGAGCCCTGCCAATCAGTCTGCCAGCCTACACCCCTGACAGCAATAAACACTTAGTTGGCAGAACCCAGACCCACACTCAGCAATTTTTGTGTGGTCTTTCACCATGTCAACCAAAAGTCATTCACCCCCTCCTGGACAGAGGTAGTTGTTCTCTTCTGCCTCTTCTCCTCCTCCTCCTCCTTTGAGGTTCTCCCAATTTGCACCTTGGGTCAAACTCTATAGTGCTCTCATTGACCTGCTTGCCCTTGGGAACACACACAACATGTGTGTTGTCTGGCTGCAACCTGAGGGCCACCCAGGTCGCAGCTTCTTCTTCCACCATGTAGTGTTGGTTGACAATGTGGGTGACCACTGGACCTGGTTTGTGAGCAGGGTAGGTGTTGAGCTCATGGCACAGGCCGCAATAGCAGTTGCCAGCAGCACCTTCTTCCTCTTGTTGCCACCACAATCCTTATCCTTCATTATTTTATTCCCAGACAGGCCACTTCCAACAACAACCCAACAACCAACAAAAACTCAGTGGGCAGAACCCACCAATATGCCCAACAAGGGGTACTATTTCTGTTTGGGCGCCTGGGCGTTTTGGTGGGTGGAAGGGGGGGTTGGGGGTTGGTCAGTGTTGTTGGTGTTGTAAAACTAGATGTGTATTTGTTGTAGGTGACAGCAGCATCAGCAGTGATGGTGGTGGGATGCAGCAGCTGGGGCTTGGCAAAGCCCTGCAACTGGTTGCTGTGATGAAGCACAGGTGCAACAAGGAGAGGGCCAATACCAAACTGCTGCACAACCAAGTGGACAATGGTGTGCTGGAGAAGGAGTGGCTCTCCTCCTCCTCCGGAAGAGTGGGAGGAGGAGAATGATAATTATGGTGACTATCTCCTCAGCAATGAGGATATCACTGAGATGACTACTGAAGAGCAGAGCTTGATGCAGGAGGTGGCCACTCTTGACAGCCAGATCCAGACCAAGGAGAAGATTGTGGCCTTCCACAAGAACCACAGTTGGCACAGATGAGTGCAGTGAGTGAGCTGGAAGAGCAACCCATCAGCTTACCCTCATGACTCCAGTTGCCAACTGCCTACCCTCATGATGATACCCATCATGGTTTCCCTCTTCCTTGTGCCTGGTGTTCCTCTTCCTCTTACTTGCCTACAATTCTGCACTGCCCTTGATTCAGAATGAGTAAAGGTAGGGGTACATGCACCTCCAAGGGGAATGATATATATAAATATACACATAGATATATTCAGCCACTGCAGAAAAGAAAAAGAAGGAGAAAGTCAATAAAGAAATAGAAATGGGCAGGATGGGGAGGAGGAGAAAAAACCATGGTTTGTTCAGATCCCAGAAGCATGGGAAAGTTGTATGGAGGCTATCCAAGAGGGGACATATACCCTCACAATAAAGGTATTGACATGAACCATGTTTTTGTGGCCTAGACATGTCAATTTCTCACATAGAGAAGGGGGGTTGATAGAGAGATATATGTGTACAGAGACATATCCATGCAGTGTGGTGGCAGTGGTGGTAATGTCACCCCATCTGGAGTACACCAGTCCTGAACCAATCTGATGGTGCATTGTTGCTTCTTCTTCTCTCTCACCTGGGTGTGCTGTGTGTGTGTAATGTGTGCTATGTGTGCAGGCAATTCAGTGATAAAGTTGGTCAATTGTGAGATGATGGGGATGTTGGATTGGGGTGACATGAAGAGGCTAGCTCTGAACTTGTCACCCCTTTCACTATGTCAGCAGGACTTGTTCATTCTTATGTGTACCCTTCTGTAGGAGTGCCACCTTCAGTCTGGAGGTGTTTCCCATCACATTATTGGACCCAGACCCTGATGAAGTGCTGCTCCTCTGGCACCAGGGCTGGGCCAACTTCTTTGATGTGGAGACCAGAGCCACCCCACCCAGGGCGAGTACCTCCGTGCGCGCCCACGCATGCGTGGAGGAGTGCAAGAGTGCAGATGCTTCTCACCTGTGAGGGAGTTGCTGACTGTTTCACCCTTTACACCCCGGCCACACTTCACGTGGGGTGTGGTGGAAGTGGGTTGGGCCACTGTTCATCGGTGAGTGGTGGTTGATGAGGGTCCAGACACCACCTCCTTGATGGACCTCCGCAGGACAACCTCCGTGGGTAAAGTACATGTGTACATTTATTTGTTGGGAATGATCGCACTGTGTTTGAGTGATGGTGGTGATGATGGTCTCGCCTCACTGTGTGAGGCTGTCGTCGGAGGAGGTCATGGCGTCGCGGGACGAGCTCGTGCTGGCCGGGGCCGGGGGCGGCTTCCTCGGGCTGCCCTCCTGCGCCTGCGGGTGCGGCGTCGTGCGGTTGAAGGTGATCGGCGCGATGTGGGCGCGCGGCGACGGCGGCGTCTTGAGCATGCCGTTCGACGCCGCCGACGACCCACCGCCGCCGGCGTTGCGTCGGGGCGACGACGGCAGGTGGAAGCTCAGCGAGTGGCCGTGGTGCAGGTGAGGCAGCGGCAGCAGCCCGAACGCCTTCTTGTGCTGCTTGTCCTGCTTGCCGACGATGTCACTGCCACCACCGCCGCCCGCGCCGCCATCGCCGCCGCGCTCGTCGACCTCCGACGGCGACGCGTCCTTCCGCTTCTCGAGCTTGTGCTGCTTCTTCAGCTCCTTCTCCTCCTCCTTCCGCTTCCGCCGGCTCTCCTTCTCCTCCTCCTCCTTCCGCCGCTTCATCTCCTTCTCCTCCTTGTGCCGTCGCTTCTTGTCACTATCGTCCAGCCCGTCCCTCTCCCTCTCCTTTTCTCTCTCCTTTTCCTTCTCCTTTTCCTTGTGGTGGTGGTGGTCGCCGTGGTCGCCGCCGCCGCTGAGCACCTTGCGCCGCTCCTTGTCCTCCTTGCTTCGTCGTCGGGCCTCCTTCTCGTCCATGCGCTCCTTCTTCCGCTTCTCGCGCTCCTCCTCCTTGGTGCGATCCTTGTCCCGCCGCCGCTGCTCCTCGATCCGCTTCCGGTCGTCGCGCTCGCCACGATCGCGGTCGCGGTCGCGGTCCTTGTCCCGCCCGCCCGCGCCCTTGGTCTTGGCCAGGATGTCGGCCGAGTACTTGAAGAACTTGGCCCGGCGCCGGCCGCTGCCGCCCTCGGGCCGCTCGCCGTCCTCGCTCCGCCTCTGGTGGTGGTGGTGGCCGCCGCCGCCGCCCGACGACGACTGGCCGTAGTCCAGGCTGCTTCGGCTGCTGCCACCGTCGTCGCTCCCGCGGTCCGAGTCGCTGCCATCGTCGTCGCTGTCGCCGCCGCTCCGGTCGCCGCCGCCGTTGCTGGCGCCGCGCCGGTGCCTGGCCGACAACTCGTCGTCGGAGGTGCGCTCCCACTCCTCCTCGTCAGACCGCTTGATCTCGGACGCCGCCTGCTGCGCCTGGCGGGCGGCGGCCTTGCTGTTGCTGCGCCCGCGCTGGTGGTGGTGGTGCGGGTGGTGGCTCTGGGGCGAGGTGGCCAGGTTGAGGTTGGGCTCCGACAGCGAGAGCCGCCGGCTGTTACGCAGCTTGCTTCGGATCTTCTTGCGGCGGCCCTCGGGGCTCGTACCGAGCTCGCGCCCCGCCAGGTCGCCGTCGCTGCCCGAGTCCTCGTCGGCGCTGCTGGTCAGGTCTTCCCGCAGCTCCTCGATCTTGGGCAGCAGCGGCGGACTCCGCCCGCCGGGCGTGACGGTGGCCTTCATCACCACGGCGGGCGCCAGGTCGCCAGCGGCCGCAGCGCTGATGTAGTCCACCGCCTCCTTGCTTCGCTTGAGCGGCGTCGTGTGGGACTGCTCGAGCGCGAGCCCGCTGGGCTTGCTATCGACACGGTCCATGGCCTTGAGTGAGTGCACGGGCGACATTTCGTCGCTCCGCTTGCCGGCGGCCGCGGCTACGGCGGCGCCGGCCGTGCGGATGAGGAAATCCTCCTCGAGCTGCTCGGCCCGTTTCCGCTCGACGAAGGCGCCGGCGTGGTCGAGCAACCGGCCGCTGGGCTCCTTCTTCAGTAGATTGGCCACCGAGGCACGCCGCTCTCGCACCTTCTTCGTCTTCCGCACCCTGCCCAGGCAATCGCGAAGCTGTCAGCACTCACAGTGACATGACACACAGCACACACGACACGACACGACACGAGCGTGACACACGAACCTGGGGAGATGGGTGGTGTTGGAGGTGACGAAGATGGAGCTCTTGAGCTCGTCATCGCGCTCGCTCTCGTCGGTCTCCGAACTCGATTCGTCTTCGCTCTGTTCCTCCTCCTCCTTTTCTTTGTCCTTCCGCTCTCCCCCGCTGTTGTCGTGGGTCGTCGGCTGCTGCGATGGCCGCTGCTGCTGATGTTGTGTTCGGCCCGACGCCGCGCGGACCCCCGACGACGACGATGACGCGAAGAGGCCCTCGGTCGTTCGGCTGAGCGCGGACGTGGAGAGGCTCTCGGTCGCCCTGAGATCGCCCGACGAGGACGACGAGGCGACGACCGGCGCGGCCTCGTGTTCGCCCGGCCTGTGCCGCGGCGAAAACGTGGTGTCCGTCTGCGAGCGACGCCGCTCGATGACCGTCTCCCTCTCCTTGCCCTTTTCCCGACGAGCCGAATCCAGCGCATCCGGTTCTGTGGCACGACACGACACATACGACACACACGACACGAGCATGTCAGCATGTGCTGTCACGACACGACACGAGCGTGCCAGCGAGAGGTGTGTGTGTGTGTGTGTACCGCCGAAGGTGGTCTCGCGCTCCTCGCCCTCGTCCTCCTCCACGAAGAACCGGCGGTGGGTGACGGAGGGCTCGCCCGAGTCGTCGGCGCCGGTCCGGGTGCGGGGCGACACGAGCGACGCGTCGTCCTCCTTGATTATGTCCAGGTAGCCGTCCGAGTGCCTGCGCCGCTTCTTGAACAGGAAGCGCTGCAGGTACTTGACGCCCTTGTTACCATCAGCGCCGGCGCGGTCCTCCGCAGCCGACTTGCGCCAGGCGAGGTTGAGATCGAGATCGAGACGCACGATGCGCTTCTCGCGCTCGTCGTCGTCGTCGGGCTCGGGCTCGAAGACGTCGCCCGAGTCGTCGGCGTTGACGTCACCCTTGAGCCGGTTGCCCACCCGCTCGCGGCTCTTGCGGCTGCGCGTGCGGCCGAGCGAGGCGAGTCGGCGTCGACGGCTCTTGATCTTGCGCTTGCGTCGCTTCTCCTTCTCGGCGTCGTTGGCGTCGAGCACGTCGTCGCTGTGCGTGACGCGGATGGGCGTCGACGGCTCGCTCTTGCTGCCGCCGGCCAGCCGGGCCGCCTCGTCGACGGGCGTCTTGGCGCCGCTGGCGGCGGGCACCACGCCATCACCGCTCTGGCCGTTCTCGCCGGCGTCTGCCGCCTGTGCGGTGCCGCTGCTGTCCGGCTCCGCGGTGGCGCCAGGCGCGGTGGGCTTCGGGTCGAGCTCCAAATGGAACAGCTGCTCGCGCTCGGCCTCCTCCTGCTCGCGCTTCGCCTTGCGGCGGCGGGCGCTGCGGCTCTCCTCCTTGCCGGCCTCGTCCGACGCCTCCCGTCCGGTCGGCACCGGGTCCGTTACCCGTTCGGTCTCGCTGACGGTCTCGGACGAGACAGTGTCGTCGTCGCTGGAATCGGTGTCGGAACTGTCGTCCATGGAGCTGGTGGACTCGTCGTCGTCGCTGCCGGTGGCGTCGGTCGACGTCGACTCGTCCTCCTCCGCTCGCGACAGCCGCTCCTTGGACGACAGCCGCGTGAGCGCGGACATGATCTTGTTGTCCGCGGCACCACCTGATGTGTGTCGTATGTGTTGCGTCGTGAGCATTGGGCCACGTTTCGCAAACAAAAGCGTTGCGTGCGCGCGTCGTACCAACGAAGGGAATGCTGGTGCCGTCGAACTGGACCTTGCGAGGCGTGGGCGACGGCGACGGGGTCTTGACTATGTAGCCCGGCGGCGCGGACATGGGCGGCTGCGAGCTGGGCGAGCCCACGCCGCTCATGTCGGCCGACGTGAGGAAGGGGATGGTGGTGAGCGACCCGGTCGTGCCCTCGGGGATGGACATCGGGCCGAGCGGTGTCTTGGCCGTGGCGAACAGGGACGAGTCGGACCGGGTGCGGATGGGCATCGTCATGTAGGTTGGCAGCGGCGGCGACGACGAGGGCGTGGGCGTGGGAGTCTGCACGGGCGTCGACGGCGCGCGCGGGAAGTGGGTCGGCGCCGACGTGGAGCGCGCAGAGAGGGGCGTGCCGGAGGGCGAGGCGATGGGCGGCGCCGGGGTCTTCGACTCCTTGAGCAGCTGGAAGCGGTGGTAGTCCCGCATCTCGTTGATGAGCTTGCTCGTCACCCACCAGAAGTCCTCTGTGATCTGTTTGGTGACGACAACGACAACGACCGCGACAGGTCAGTCATTGTCTGGTAGACCACCGCGCGCGAGAGCTCTGCATATGAACGGTAGCTAGGGTACCTCGAGCAGGGTGTCGCAGTCGAGGTTGGTGAACTTGAGCTGAATGACGAGCTTGGAGAAGTCCTTGGTGTTGAGGATGAACTTTTGGTTGAACTTGAACACGGCCAACGCCACCTTGAACATGAAGGTGCTGTCGTAGCCCTCGCAGAACAGAATGTCCAGTATGCGGATGCTCGTCTGATATGTGAACGTGTCGTTCAGTGAGCCCCCTCGGTGCGTTGCCACGACACACGACACGACACACGACACGACACGCGCAGCAAGACAAAAGGGTGCCGTACCTGCATGGGGATGTAGCCGATGAAGAGGCACATGAACCAGGGGAAGGAGATGAGCACGAGTGGCAGCTGAATGCTCTCCAGGTGCGCGTTGAGCTTGGGGAAGTGCTCGGCGACGAGGTCCTCCAGCACGTGCTGATCGGTCATCGAGCCCAGCATGTCGGGCGTGAAGTACTGCGGGAACAGCTCCTCGCACAGGATCGTGAGCGCCCAGAAGGTCTCCTCCTCGCCCATGAACAGCAACAGCAGCGAGCAGATGATGTTCTGTAGTGGGCCAACAACAACAACAACACGCAACACGCGACACACAACGGCGTGAGATGAGTGTTCACAGAGGAGGAGAGTTCGGCGGTGAGCGGGGAAAAAGAGAACAAAGAGAGCGAAGCGCACCATGGACTGGCAGTAACCAAGCGAAGGGTTTCGCCACGAGTAGGCGATGAGCACGTTGCGCAGGGCCTGCTTGCCCGATTCGCTCTGAAAATAGGGATGCTCGGGAAAGCTTCGGTTGACATCCTGTTTGAGTGAAGAGGAAGAGGAAGAGGGGGAGAGACAGAGAAATTGAGCAACACTCAAAAAAGAAGAAGAAGAAGAAGAAGACGACGAGATAAAAGAGAGAGGGAAAAAGCCAACCCTCTCAATCTCGGAGATGGCGTCCGAGTTCTTTCCGTCAAACTGTTTGAGAAGGTTCTGGTACTCGCCGGGCTTGATACAAAAGCTATGCGCGCTGCCCAGAAAGATCTGCCAAAGGCCGCCTGTAGCCCCCCCCCAAAAAAACGCGTGTCAGCAGACTGGGTCGGACAGGGCACGGCAGTGCCCTATGTTGGTGCACGTACCCTTGAGCTCGTCCGGAATGCCGTAGCGCACGATGTCGCGGAGCGCGTCGGAGGTCTTGAGCATCTGGATGCCCCAGCCGTACTTGCCGATGTACTCCTCCCACCGCTTGCGCTGCAGCTTCTGCTTGATGGCGTAGTCGGATCGGAAGTGCTTGCTGTCCTTGACGATGGGCCCGAGGCCGACGAAGCCAAAGTCGTCCCAGGGTCCCTCGGCCGGAGGCACCTTCTCCAGCAGCCGCTCCGAGCTGCGGATGCGTCGCGACCACAGCTGCACCATCAGCTCGCAGCAGTGCTGCCGTCGCCACAGCAGCGAAAAGGAAAACTGGTAGCATCGGGCCACACCGAAAAGCGAAGCAATGGCGTGCGTGAGTCTTCGGCGTCACACACACACACACACACGCAAAACACAAGAAGAGGCGAGGACCGAGCGTACTTTGTTGGATTGGGTGTTGACCTGAATGAGCTTGCTATCTACAGATATGATGTCGAGCACTTCGCGGAAGGGGATGACCACGGAAAAGCTGTGGCCTTCCACGTCGGCGTGGAAGCACACGTAGTTGGCCGATATGTGCAGGGTGCCCTCGTAGACCTGAATGATGTTCTCCATCCATAGGCTGCCGCAGAACTCTGTGGCCGGGCAAGAAACGATTGGTTGGAACGCATCATCACGACACCACACACACACACACACACACACACACACAGAGAGAGAGAGAGAGACGACTATTGCGCGCAGACAGCACGGAAGATGTACCTGCGATGAGGAGCTCCTCCTTCGGCATGCGGAATGTCTTGCGATGCTTCTCGCGTTCGATTTCGCACAGAAGCTGCTCTCGCGTTATGCCCATCAGCCGCGCCTTCGCTTCTTCGTCCCCGTCACGATCTGCCGCTTCCTGGATTCGACGAAGCGTGTGAACATACGGGTCAGTCGCTCGCATTATTATTTTCACCCCTCAGCACTCACGAGAAAAAGATGTCGCACCTCGAGCAGCGCCATGTGCCATATTCGGACCAGGAGGCCCATCGTTTGCTCAAAGTCTGCGAGAGAGTGAAACAAAAACTAATTGGGCAGAAAGAGGAAGAGTTAAGGACAGTCACAGCCACAGAACAACACCATCGGCGCGGCAAAGGGGGCAAGAAGAAGATAGGAAACAGCAGTTACCTCTTCGTGGTAGGCGCCGAGGCAAGTTACGTAGATGGCCGGGACGGTGCCATTGACCGCCGTGGCGCGCGAGAGCGACGTGATGACCCGCCAGTAGATGGCCACGCGTGTGTTGAGCCGCGGACTGTGGAAGCAGACGTGTCGCGGGGTGACTAACAAGAGGCCTCGTCGCTCGACACCCTTTCGCTCCAGCGAACACGGATACTCTGTGCGCGTAAACACGGTGTTCGCGTCA